ACACACACACACACACACACACACACACACACACACACACACTCACACTCTGGACGTCAATGCGTCTTTGTAATGTCTTCGGAATTACTCACAATTACGATTTATTTTTACCCCTTGTTTCAATTTAATATTGCTGTTATTGTATTGCATTGTGTTGTATAAATGGTGTACAACTTTAGTACAATCCAAGTGTAATTTATCATTTAGGTTGTTTTAAGCTGACTTACAGGCTCAACTTAGCTTTCAAAACTGTTACATACCTAGTTTGTGCTGAATAATGAATAATGTATGCATTTAAATTTAGATACTACTCGGTAATATTATTATTTTAACTTAATTATTTGTGATTTGTATATTGGAATGTACCAAACTTCTTATTATCTGTTTAAAGTTTTTTGACATACTGTCTCTCTTTAGGATATTTATATTTTTTTCTTTATTTCAGGTTTAACTAAATCAAAGAAGAAAAATGATTTTTACATGTCTAGTGTTACTTATTATTTTTATGTGTGTCTGTCTTCAAGCAAGTTATTTACCAGACGATCAAGTGCCTAAGTCACATGCAACAATATGTAAGTGTAGTTTCCCTCAGTTTTCACCCTGATCTCTCTATTTGAAAAATAAGCATGTCTGATTGCTGGTGTTGTTTTGTTGTAAATAGACAGGTTGTGCTGCAAATAATATGGTAGTGTCGTGTATCACTGTGTCAGCAATATATTACAACATGGCTTATCATAGTTCAGCTGAACCAGACCAAATAGCACAGGGTTTCAGTTTTCTTTTACCTAACCATTGTGATTCAGTCAATTGCTTAGAATCTGTATGCAAATTACAGTCTGATCAGGTTGACCCTTGACACGCTTCATTGAATCCAATAAGATTACGAACAACACTATTGTGAACAAAAGCACAACATACTCTTATTAGTAGTAGGATATTTTCAACACCACTAAAATCTTTTGCTCCCACCCAGTCTCTATTTCACCCAAATTCTATGTATAACATAAAAGAGCTTTTCCCCTGAATGCTTTTTATCCATGTTGAAATTTCAACATTATATCCTTGTCAAAGTGAAAGCAATTGTGCGAATTTGTTACCGTTTGTATTACTTCAGTTAAATTTAACTGTGTACTTTCTTAATAATGTTTCCTTATTTATAATATAAGTTATAGTTTGTCGCTAAAATGGGTCTGAAACTTTGAAAAAAAAGAACCCGGAACCTGAAATATTTCATCTTGTTTTTTTTTTTTTTGGATGAGCTGAGAAGCAGTCAGCTGTTGTAGCCAAATTTATAACTTTTTGCTGTTTGTCCTTCTTTTGTCAGATCCTAATGTAGTTCACAGTGGAAATATCACTTTATCAAAAGTATTAGATAATCGGTATCTTTATGTTGGTTCTGTGGATCGCTTCTTTTTACGTGACATGGAAAGTGACTTTGAATTGAAGGCAGACATCCCATGGCAACCAGATGATTCAGATCGTGACTTTTGTAAACTGATGCATGTGGACACAGAATGTCATAATTTTATTAAAGTTATTGAAAAGAATGATGAAAATGACAAATTGTTAGTATGTGGTACGAATGCCTATGTACCAAGCTGTCGATACTATGATGATTATGTGAGTATTTATAACTTGTCTTCTTTTAGTTTTTACATTATCATGTATCAATGTGATTGTTATAGTAAAGGATGTAGTGGAGGAATTGACCCTAATTGACCTACAATGCAAATGATCGCTAACATCTTGTTGAAAACGCAAAAACTATGGGACTTGTCTTTGCCCTCATAGTGTTCCTATCCACTTCCAATTACCATGATTACATAGATCAGTGAAGCTCTTTAATATCTATTGGTGCAAGAATTGTTGATTTATTGTTCATACCTTTGACTATTTTCAGACAATTCAAAATACTGAAGAGTTTGGAGTGACAACAGGATTATACAAATCACCGAATCATCCTGGTCCACTCAACACCGCAATATTTGCAAGTAAGTATATTTCTAGCTAATTGCTGTCTGTGTGTTTGGATATGTTGATGTGATCTTTCTTTCAAGCAATTCACAATGCACCACTCAAATTTAAAGTTTCATGTGTAACATAACTATGAATCAGTATCAGAAAAAAAGTACCTGTGGATACCTGAAA